TCTTAGGACTTTAACGAGTACATTACGTATATAACTCCTTAAGATAAAATTTACATAACATAATTAAATACATTAATAAAACATTATAGGCGATATTCAATTTCTCACGAACTCCATACCCTAAATTTACGAGATAAAATAAAAACTAATATACGGTGCCTCACATGAGCCGGTTAAGAGGAGCCAACCACATCCATACCAACTTGTCCTTTTTATGTCACGACATAAAAAAAAAAACAACAGTGAGTCGAAGCTCGGTAAGTAGGGTGATGCACGTGATATGCAATACTGTTTTGACTTTCCACCATACTCATAAATTTTAATCTCGAGTACTGCGGGTATTAGCCGATCTACTCTATTTATCATCCGGGTGGTCCGCGAGATCACCTTTTGCTATAACGAAATTATCTCTCGTTGTAACTACTATTAGCGGGAATCCAACGTCTAACGAGTGCAAGCACACGGCTTGATTTCATCCGGATGATCCTCGGATCATCTTCTCGCTACAACGGAATTACCCCTCGTTGTAACTACTATTAGTGGGAATCCATCGTCTAATAGTGCGGGCACACGACCTGAGTACTTGGACTACTAATACCCATTTATTTTTAATTCGGTTACCAAATCGTGTCATTTCATGACTCGATGATTTTTCTCAACTTATTCCACCCCCAATGCACGTGATGCACGTGATGACATGTTTAATCAAATTCAACTAAACTCGGGTACCAACCCTTTTTCTTAAGCCATACTCACGGTTTAACCAATACTCGGGATTCACTCGTCGCTCACATACCAGTCATGGTACTCATAGCGGGAACACAACCTCTCGCTTATTAATATTGTTCATTAGTTTCATTAATATTTAAAAGAAGGTCCAAATATTTTTCTTATTTCCTCTCTAAAAGAATAAATTTTCTTTAGAATTTTCAAATCCCTTTTATTTCTATCTAAGTTCACTTATTTTAGTCCAAGCCTATTTTTTTCTTATTCTGGGCCCATTAACTTTATCCAAGTTTATTAACTTAATCCTAAGTCCATTGACTTTATTTAATTTTATTTTATTTATTCCAAGCTCATTTAGTTTATTCCAAACCTATTAATTTTGTCCAAGTCTATTTTTTTTGGTTTTAGGGTTTATTACCGAGCAACTCCTAATCGAGTAAATAATTTTCTAATTTCAGAACATAATTAAATTTTACCCATTTTATTTTAGATACTAAACATATTTATTTATAACATATCCAAAAATTAGGTCTAAATACCAAGTATACAATTAATTAAAAATTTTGAAACTTAAGGAGCAATCTGCCTAGTAGTAGTTTGTCTAGAGCTATCTATACTAAAATGTTTATAACTCTTTGTACACGAATCCAATGACCTAGAAATTTTAAAGGCAGTTATTTGAAACATAGAGGAACAACGTTTATTCTTTAAGTTTCACCTAGAAATCGATCTAAAAGCCTTTAAAAGACACCCCAAAATTAGGATAGAATTTACTCCTTATCAACACTAATTTATTAGTTCATTCAAGCCAACTTTAAACATGTTTTAGTTCACTTAAATTTATTCCAAGTTGAATCCAACCCATCACCACATACTTGGACATTTTTCAAAAAATCATAACATCATAAATCATCACAACAAGGCATCCATACATAGATTTATCCCAAGCATCAAGCATATAACCATTGAAGATTATTACAACCCATGAAATAAACACTAAAACAATAACTTAAACAAAATAATTTAAGACATTAATCAGCCAAGAAATGAAACCTACTTACCTCTTTTAGGTTTGATTAGAATTTCTTTAGCTCTTTTTTTTCCTTTTTCCCTTTTCTTTCTCTTTTCTTTCTTTCTCTCTTTTTGCTATTTTTCTCTCTTCAATTTGGCTTCTCTTTTTAATTCTGGATGGCTACGGTTTTTGGCCTAACAATGGCAGCCATTTAACCCTTTCTTTCCCATATATACCCACCTTTTATCCTTTCATTTATTTATATCATAAGTGTTACAATTTAACTAGGCCAAATGTAAAGTGAAGGAAGCTTGGAAGGCAAAGCTGGCATGTTTTGGAAGTCAAAGGTGATGATTTGGCTTCTAAGCATTTAATTCAAGTGCTTAGGTAGCTAAAGAAAACTTAGGCTAAATAAACACATTAATAAGCTGGGTTCATATAATTAGACATAATTTATTTCATAAAAAATTCGGAAATTTCCATTTTTAAAATTCGGAATTTCTTTTTCTTCAAAATTTCAGCAGTGTTACCTCTTAACCCATCTATACTAAAATGTGCATAACTCTTTCTATATGTATCCAAAAATTATGAAATTTTATAGAGAGCTAATAAACACATAGAAAAACAACTTTTATTCTTTAATTGTTGCTCAAAAAGCAATCTAACAGCATCAAATAAATCTCACAAGATTCGGGCAGATTCTTCTCCTAAAATTCCAACAAAATGCATTTCGAAACAACCCTCACTATAATTGGTATAACTCTTAATGTATAGGTCCAAATATTATAAAATTTTATAAAATCCTATTACACACATAGAGGAACAACTTTCATTCTTTAATATTTACCTAAACATTACCCTAAAGTCCTCAAATAATTCACACAATACTCGGGCAGAATATAGTCCTTAAAACACTGATTTTGCATATTTGATTTCTTTAATAATTAAACCATTAATCTTAAGCACAATAACTTTAATTTAACATAAATCACATATTTCAAGCATTAATTTCTCATGATGAAATGAGAATTATACTTACTCTTAATATACATATATATAGAATTATTCTAATACATGTCGCGTTATGGATAAGGGTTTTTACGGGGGTTACAATACCGATTAGAGTTACATTGTTTCCCTCGAGGTAATTATTGCTTTGAAGGATCCTATGTGTGGCATGCATGCCTACCCAGGCATGTGTCCTTCGAGCTTTGATAAAAGAGTGACACATGTCATCTAGACCTATCACTAGCCTTCATCCTCTCAAGTCTTGGCAAGTGTGATTGGCTTAGACTAAAGGAATTTGTCTATATCTTTAGAGGGCTGCCCCTTCTTGTCCGAGGAGATCATCAAAGCTCTTTTTGTTTGCCTCATTCTATTTGAGTTAATCGATGATGTGTGTTTTAATGCTTGGTGCTTCAAAACTTATGTCATTTAAAAAAAAGGAGCAAACGTTTGTTCATGAGGCGTCTCTACTAATATGAAGAGGTACGTCTCTTATATTTCTTAAAAGAGTAATGATTGTCATCATTGATGATACACGCACTTGACCTATCGTATCCGGTTAAGCCATGTCTATCATAGGATCGCAATTTAGGTCTCGCATGTCTTCATTATGAAGAAACGTGCCCTTCTGCCTATACATACTTTGCTTGGGGATTTCTCACTTTTATTTTTATTGATTCCGAGTTACGTTGAAGATTCCTAGTAATTTTTTAACGTCCTTTGAAGTCTTTAGAAGGTCTTTCCCTAATATTCCCTTCATCTTTGTATTCTTTAATCCAAATTTGAGATTTCACACTTGTGTTAAGGGCTATGTCATAAGGAATTCTCCCTTCAAATTGAAATCTCGACGAGGTAACTCGCTTTTTCACTCTTGTTATTCTCTTTTTGGATAACCATGAGTGCTAAAAAGAGTAAGGCTTCGTTTGTTAGGTGAAAAACATTTCCGGTAGGAAAATTAATTCTAAGGAAGCTATTTTCTTGGACGTTGTTTTCTAGAAAAATATTTTCTTGCATTTGTTTATTATATGAAAAAGTTGTTAGAAAACATTTTTTATTGTTTATTGGATACAAAAAATTAAAATACGAAAATAGACTGTGATTGTTATATCAACGAGTTTTGAAGGAATTTCAACAAGGCATATTGACATTCTTACAATAAAACAAATTGTTAAAAGATCTCACATCCATAATATATATATAGACACACACACACACACACACACAACAAACAAGTTATGTGATGACAAGATCAAGATAACTATTACTATTAATTTCATGATTACAAAACTACGATATACATTTTCAAGTTTTAGTTTTAAAATAAGAAAAGAAATAAAGTTAATCTTGTTGAACTTTTTTATATATTAAAATTCATAAAGTTAAACTAATAAATAATAATGTGATATTTTATAATTGAAATAACACTACTTATAATTCTTTTTTTAAAAAAAATTGATAAGACAAATCTTAATATAATTATAAAGGATACAATTTGATTTTGAATTTTTTAACATGACAACTCGAAAGATTAAAAATATAATATAATTATTTATAAAAAAAGGTTATATAATGAAATTATAATGAAAAACTTGGTTGGATAAATAAAATAAATAGCGTTTTCCATTCTATCAATTTGACCCATAATTATACCACTCTCAATCCAAAAGTTGAATCTCATCCATGCACCACAACAACTTGTATACTAGAAAACATTCATAATTAAAATATCCGAAATTCATAATAATAGCTACAAAGATAGCTGCAAAAATCCAACATTCAAAAAACATAAAAATTGTGTACAAAATTCATACTCTTGCAAATTCAAATACATAATAAGAAAGCCACACATAACATCATATAGATGATCCACCAAGTTCATTCGTTGAACTTTTCAATCCAAAGCTTTCTATGTTTTTCATTTCTTGCCATAACGACCTTTGCCGACCTTTAATTTTGCATCAAATAATCAAACACATTATTCAATATGTCATCATCAAAATTAATAATCTTCATCACTACATCATAAAGCTCATCTATATCAACTTCATTTTACGTTAAAGCATGAATTGCTTAGGCTACTTCTCTCACTTCCACACCAAAAATAGATGTAATTGATTCTTCGGTTTCACGACCTCTTTTTCGATGGCCTCTCTTTCCGGAAAGCATACTAGTTCACAATGCTTCTTTTCCTTTGCCTACGTCAACTTCATATGGTGTTGTAGATTTCATTTCAAAGTTCTCGGCTAAGTTGATATTATCAAAGGTCTTGGCAAAACTTCCTGTGGCCATATCTTGTCCAATGAATAAGTGTCATCTCATTGTACTTCTCATTTTTCTTGTTCAAGTATTTCTCATGGTTAAGATGTGTCTGCATGTTAAAAGGAATTAGAAAAAATCTTATCAATATAGAAAAACAAGTTGAGAAATTGAAAAAAGATTTTACATTACCATTATCTCTTCATCATAAACTTGTTTTGAGACGGTTATCATTTCCAACTCATTATTTCATCCAAAACCATTTTTCTCTTGTAGTTGTGTGATAATCTTACATTCTTTTTTGATTGTCTTCAAATGATTTTTAGCATGATTAGGAGAAAAATCTAATCCAAATTTCAAGTTGATTTCTTTTGCTATACGTGCAAAGTTGTCTTGTTTGAAAGTGGAAGAAGGCTTATTCCTTTTCACAGACCTCCTTAGCCAAAATCTCAAGCAACATATGAAACATAGGTTTTGTCCACCTAAATTGTTTGGCTTTATTTTTTTCTTGCTTTGTGCTATTCATTTCTATAAGCATTGCCAATACACGAATTTCAAAAAAATAAAAACAATTAAAATAGTCAAATAACATCATCACTTATTCAATAAACTCCCAAAAAAAAAAAAAATTGCTAAAATTACATGCAACATGTATACAATAGGATGATAGCTCAAAATATTTAGGAATTATAATTTAAAAACTAGATTGTTAGGGTGGCATCAGTTTTTATTTGAGAACTTGGCCAATTAGCACGAGAGGATGATAAGCTTTAGTCAATGGTAAAGTAATCACAACAAAAGCAAAACTCAAAATGGTTTCATCATGTATATTAATTTTCACTTGTATTGAATAAATAAAAAAATAATGCATTCCTATACAACAAATTTTTGAACATGCTTAATATTTTTGGCAGCTACTTTTGAGTTCAGAAACGTAGTAGGGAGCAAAAGGAGTGCCACTCATATTTTCGAATACAAAAGCAGTATTTTCCCATCATCCATCTTAGCTAGTCTTGTTTAGAAAATTTTAGTATGGATAGTGAGGGAGTTTTGAAAGGGAAGTTGTCATGAGCTAATAATGTAATTCGATGTGTCAAGCAAAGTTTGAAGGAGAGAATATATAGCTCAAGTTTAAATACTATAAATGTTGGGTTGAATCACATGTTTATTAAGATGCAATTTATCCAAAAAAGTTGACTAAAATGAAAAAAAAAAATTATTTGTTTAACTAAATAGTTTTGAATTTAAATCTTTGTATATATAATTTTTTTTTTTGAGTAATTATTTTTTATCTTATATACTCGACATAATTGAAAAAATTAGCTTGAATCTTTAAATTTAAAATACATTAGAAGATATATATATATATATATATAAAAGACGCAACTTGCACCGCAAACTTTACCTGTGAGTGACGAAAAAGCAACCCCATCTTTTAGTGAACCGCTGTGCAGCAAGTACCGACGACTCCTCGACCAGTAAAAAGTCATACAAGCTCCTCCGATTTGTGACAGTTAGAATAGCAACGATAGAATTGGGCTTTATTCAACCTAGAGTCGGCTAATATGATGTAACCTCTTTTATAAAAAAAGAAATTGTTCCTTTTATTTATTTATATTTATCTTAAAATATTATTTTTATAAACAGAAGCAATAAAAAAAGTCCATAAATATATGAAATATAATCAAATGAACAATCTAATTTTTATAAGCAATAATTTTTTTATTTGGATGTCTGTTTTAAGGCACATAAACTCCATCCAAAACGCTAAATCAAAAGTCAAGACTATAGAGTGTAAGGATGTCCGTAAAGCGGGAAAAAGCTGTTTTAGACCTCAAAATCTACTTTTAAGATGTATTTAGCCTGAGGATGTCACCAATATCCTTGCGATTTTCAGATCATTCAAGTTTTTATTCTATTCACTTTCCTTTTTTCAGTTTTATTATTTTTAATTATGAGTTTGAAAATTTTAATTTTCCTAATCTTATTCGAAACCATTGTAAAAGGATAACGAGTTTTTTCCATCAATAAACTTTATCAGAGTTCTCTTGCGCACCTTTGCCATGTTTTCTTTTATGGTAGTGATGTGATTACGCCGTCGCTAACTCATAACTGCTGCTTCATAATTGGATTACCATAACTAAATCACATAACATTATGTTAAATGAAACTTTTCAATTAAATCTAACTTATTCTGGATGTTTAAAAAAGTCCAAATTTATATAATCTCTCATAATCATTCAATTTTTTTTTAAATAAAACCAAGATTCATTGCTTGACTTGAAAATAATTTATGAGTCTCCTTTTCCACAATTTATCAATAATGAAAGGACGTCTTGAAATCATCCCGAAAAGATTTTATTGTAATGTCAAAAAAATAAAAGCACATAGAAAATTTAATATGGTCTATCAAATCGGTAAAATCTTTCTCAAACTTTAATCAACTCATTTAAAATTGAGTTATTGAACTTTAAATTTGATGTTGGAATATGTTAAAGACTAATATAAATTATATTCTAAAGCCTCACCTATTAACTTAAACTTTTGGATGAAATGATCCTTTAATATGGTATCAAAGCTTGATTGACCGTATGGTTCTAAGTTCAAGTCTCATCACCTCCACTTTCTCATATATTAAGTATAAGGTAATGTGTACCTATGCCAAGTTTCAAGCCCAAATATTAGAGTTTTCACTTGAGAGGATGTGTTAGAGACTAATATAAATTATATTCGAGGCCTCACCTATCATCTTAAGCTTTTAGGTGAGATTGTCCTTTGATAGGATCTTTGAACTTTTAAATTTTTGAGATTTAATTCATCCTTTTTTTCTATTAGTTATCTTAAAAAATAAAAATTATTCAAATAGCTTCATCAAGTAAATCATTTAGTGAGATTAATATGAAACTCTTCAAGAAATTTGAGATCATTTTCGATTTCTTTTTTGTTTTCTCCATTTTTTTATATTTTTAATGTTCAAAAAATAAAAATATATATATTTTAAATTTTTAAAAATTCTAGTCATAAAAGCCTCTACCTATCTTTCATTTTGTATCAAATAATCAAACACATTATTCAATAAGCCATCATCAAAATCAATAATGTTCATCACCACATCATAAAACTCATCTATATCAACTTCATTTTCCGTTAAAGCATGAATTGCTTTGGTCGCTTCTCTCACTTCCATACCTAAAATAAATGTAATTGATTCTTTAGTTTCACGGCCTTTTTTTGGTGGCTTCTTTTTTCGAAACCATACTAGTTGACAATGTTTTTCTTTTCTTTGCTTATGTCAACTTCATATGGTGTTGTAGATTTCATTTTAAAGCTCTCACCCAAGTTGATATCACTAAAGGACTTTGCAAAGCTTCATATGGCCATATCTTGTTCAGCAATAAGTGTCATCTCATAGTACTTCTCATTTTTCTTGTTTAAGTATTTATCATGGTTAGGATGTTCTTGCATGTTAAAAGGAATTAGAAAACATCCGATGAATATAGAAAAACATGTTGAGACATTGAAAAAAGATTTTATATTACCGTTATCTCTTCATCATAAACTTGTTTTGAGACAATTATCATTTTTAACTCATTATCCCATCCAAAACCACTTTTCTCTTGCATTTGTGTAATAGTCTTTCATTCTTTTTTATTGTCTTTAAATGATTTTTAGCATAATCGGGAGAATAATCTAATCCAAATTTCAAGTTGATTTATCTTGCTACATGTGCAAAGTTGTCTTGTTTGAAAGTGGAAGAAGGCTTATTCCCTTTCATAGCCTCCTCGACCAAAATCTCAAGCAACATATGAGACATAGGTTTTGTCCACCTAAATTGTTTGGCTTTAGCTTTTTCTTGCTTTATGTTACTCATTTCTATAAGCATTGCTAATAAATAGAATTTCAAAAAAATAAAAGCAAGTGAAATAGTCGGATAACATCATCACTCATTCAATAAACTCCAAATGACAAAAAAAAAAAAAAAAAAAAAAAAAGCTTGCTAAAATTACATGCAACATGTATATAATAAGATGATAACTCAAAATATTTAGGAATTATAATTTAAAAACTAGTCACGTTAGGGTGGCATCGGTTTTTATTTGAGAACTTGGTTAATTAACACAAAGAATGATAAGCTTTAGTCAATGACAAAGTAATCAAAAGCAAAACTCAAAATGGGTTTCATCATGTATATTAATTTTCACTTATATTGAGTAAATAAAGAAATAATATATGTCCGTACAAGAAATTTTTGAACATGCTTAATATTTTTGGCGACTACTTTTGAGTTTCGAAACGCGGTAGGGAGCAAAAGGAGTGCCACCTATATTTAACAATACAAAAGCAGTATTTTCCCATCATCCATCTTAGCTAGTCTTGTTCAAAACATTTTAGTGTGGATAGTGAGGGAGTTTTGAAAGAGAAGTTGTCATGAGCTAATAATGTAATTTGAAGTGCCAAGCAAAGTTGGAAGGAGAGAATATATAGCTCAAGTTTTAATACTATAAATGTTGGGTTAAATCACATGTTTATTAAGATGTAATTTAACCAAGAAGGTTGATAAAATAAAAAGAGTTTACTCGTTTAACCAAGTAGCTTCGAATTCAAATCTTTGTATGTATAAAAAGTTCTTTGAGTGATTATTTTTCATCTTGTGTACTTGAGAAAATAGTAAAATTTAATTTTAAAATACATTAGAAGTTAAAAAAAGTAATAATAAAAAGACCCAACTTGCACCGCAAACTTTACCTCCTTGTTTGGATATTTCCTCTTGGGAGGAAAGAAAAGAGAGGAAAGAAAGTGAGAGGAAAGAAAAGAGAGAGGAAAGAAAATTATTTTTCACTTGTTGTTTGGATAACAGTAGAAATGAAAGGAAAGAAAGTATATTTTTCTTGTTTGGATAATTGTAAAACAAGGGAGGAAAGAAAATGTATTATTGTATATTTACTATAATACCCCTATGATTAGTATGAAACTTTTCAAAAAATATGAGATCATTTCCAAGTTATTTTTTATTTTTTTCAATTTTTTTTATATTTCTGAAGTTCAAAAAATATATGTACTTTTTAATTTTAAAAATTTTTTGGTATTTTTCTATAAAATAGATTGGACTTTTTTCAACGCGTGTGCAAAATTTCAGTTCAAAATATAAAATTGTTTTTAAAAAAAAGAAAAGATATAGCTGAAAATTATTGGATGGATTAAATCTCAAAAAATTAAAAATTTTAAAATTAAACAAACTCAATTTCAAATAAGTTAAAATTGAAAAGAAATTTTGATCCATTTAACCTAGTTTTGCCATATCAAGCCAAAATTACAATTTTTGCGACATGAAAATCCAGAGCTGCTAGAACTACGAAATTCTAGTTTGCGACTAAAAAGATTGGCCGTATGTGCATGATTGAAGTGGTGGGCCAAATGTAGTTGGGTCACTCACAAGCTTGCCTACAGCGTGCGTTGGCATTTACCTCTAACAAAGACAGATTTTTACTCAACACAACATAACCCTGCGTTTGGGTTTACTTTGAATGTTGACGCGTGCGATGACTGGAGACAGAGGAGAAATTTAGCACTCATCCATTCTCATCTTTGTTCTCGTGTCTTGTTGAATTTACCGGCATTGATGTGATTGTGTTAATATTAAGTGTCTATTTAGTAGTAATATTAAGACGATATTGTGCAGATGCCAATTTTTCATATATATTGATTTGATAATAAAGGTATTTTTATATATTGATACGATAATAAAAATATTTTCATATTAGTTTATAAATTAATCAATCTTTAAAAAAATTAGATGATTTTAAAGACGTATTTTTCTATATCGGTAAGATACATTCAGAAGAATTTTAATAAAATTTTTGGATGTTTTCTTCAAAATTTGAATTCAAAAAATTAAGAAAGTTATAGTCTTTATTGCTAGAAACAGGCAACATAGATTGATTGTATGCATTGCTTTCTTCTGCACTGTGTATCTGCAAAATCAATCATTTTAATGGGTTGACAGCCCTCAAGTTAGTAATTAGAGAGAAAGAGAGAGAATGGTATGATTAGGCTTTACGGAATGTGTTTGTGAATGTGTTTTAGAGAAGACAAACAACAAAACATTTCTAAAGCATATAGAGTTTTCTCTTTAAAATTAGAAACTTGAAATCCTTAGTACTTAAGCTTCAATACTTTTCTCCTCCAAAAAGATGTTGAGAATGCTTTTTGAGATTTGGTGAGGAGTAAAAGAAAAAAGTATCGAGTCAATCTGTTGGCTAGAAGGGGCTATCATTGATTCGTAGCTTGTTGGATAGAAGTTGGACTTTAAATTTTTGAAACTTGCATGAGTCTTTCTTAACCTCTATTGCTAATGCTTCTTGTTTTTTTTTTTTCCCTTTTTGCTTAAAGTTGGCCTATTACTTGAAGAAGAAAGTGATCTTGGCTTGTTTACGGTAGAGCTTCTCGAGCCTTGAATGGAGAATGTTGTCGTTGAGTCGGCCCATGCTCTCATTCCCCTTCTATCCCTAATCTAGAAGTTGATCCTGTTAGAGGCTTAGGGCTGGCTAGCTCTTGGTGAGGCAAGTGATCATCTAGTCAAGAGGCCTAGAGTTAACCCTAGTGTTCTAAAGGTGAGGAGTAGGGATGGCAATTTGCTTCGTCCTGTTTGAGGCGGGAATGTTAGTAAAAATTTCTCTCGAACAAGGTATGGGGCGGAGATGAGGTAAATTTTTTTGGGACGGGGCGGGGAAGGGGATGGCTATCCCTACCCTACCATTTTGCCATTAAAAATGGTAATTTGACGAGGCCCTCCCCACCTTGTCCAGTTGGAGGCGGGGATGGTAGTCAAAATTTTGCCCCAAACGAGACACGAGGTAGGGATGGGCCAATTTTTTTGGGGTAAGGTGGCCATCCCCGTTCCGTCCCCTGCTCCATTGCCATCCCTAGTGGGGAGTACTCTCGTACATTCTTTGAGGGAAAAAGTTTTTCCCTCCTTGATGGGAAAATAAACTTGCCATCCCCGTCCCCTCCTCGCCCCATTGCCATCCCCGGTGGGGAGTGCTCTCGTACATTCTTTGAGGGAAAAAGTTTTTCCTTCCTTGATGGGAAAATAAACTTTAAGTATTTATCTTTTTGAGTTGATAATATCAAAATTAATAATAAATTAGTAAAATTAAACAATTACACAAGTATTATTATTAAACACAAACTTCTATAAGAAAGATAATTATCTATTTGGAAACTAGTTAATAAAAACCTAAAATAATAGCTCTATGCATGCGGATATACACATATACTTATATATGTGCATGTATTTCTCTACTTATGTACACTCTCTTTATGTCTCTTTTTTATATTTTTTCTTTATAAATTTTATTTAATACACTATATTGTGTGTTTGGTTTTATTGCTTTTTTTTCAATTACAAGTAGGGTTAATATGTAGTTAATTGAATTAAATCTATATATTTTAATAAAGCACAACACTTCATGAATAATCGATCCACTAGTTCTATTTCTAAAAACTCAACATATTGCAACATTTTAAATAGGGGGAAAATAATTAAATAATTCAAGAAGAATTCAATTACTTATGTGTGTTTTAAGGTTTTTTTAAAAAAAATATTTGACATTATTCTTTTTAAATGGTAAAACTTTCTCCAAATGCGGAATAGTATACTAGTATTGTCGCTACCCAACGTTGGATGGAACTCCTCGAAAATATCTAAAATTATATTAAATATTTATAAGTTTATTTACGAGCTTGAAGTCGCCACCTTGTATTAAAAGAACTAGAAACCTAAAATGGACAACTGGTTCGGAGATTCTATAGTAAGCGAGTTGGTTACATTTTTTTTGGAAGATATCGATCACCCAAAAGCGCCCTTTTTGAAAAAAAGATACGACGTCCGGTTTAGCTCTAAATTTATCTCCTAAAATTTTTTATTTATGTCAAATTATTTTCTGATTCTTAATCTCCCATTTTTTTTAGACAAATTGAATTTTTTTAGTTTTGAGCGTGGCATCGTATTGAAACGATCGTCGGTCCCCTTCGTCGGACGACACATCGATTCAAACATCGGATCCATTTTAAGCCTTAACACAATCGGTGTGTCGGAGGAGCACTCTTGTTGACTAGTATGGATGGGAATAATATAGTCAAACCTATAAACTACGATGCGGGTAAAAAATAATATGCTTGAGGGTCGTTGTTTTCTTCTTCATGAAATAAAGAATGAAATTCGGAGCCAAACATGTGCATTGTATTTTTCTTTCCATCTCTCGTTTCCTCGACCCCACAAACACATCACCTTTTCTCTCATTTTATGATCTATATTGATACTATTTATAAATGGTATATAAGTTAATTAAGGTATCGTAGCGGTGTTTTACTTAATAAATAGTCGGCTCAATCTGGAAAGGAAAAAAAAGAAAAAAAGAAGGAAAAAAGAGAGGAATTCTAGTTAAGAGAGAGTGAAAATCGAGAGCTAAACATTCAAAAATTGGGATTGATAGTTGCTGATTTTTTGGGTTTGTGTTCTAGGTGTTCTTGGGGTTCTAAGTTTTAGTTCATAGCCTATCAATCCTTCTAGTGCTTTTGTTTTGTGTTTCTTAGGGCCAAATATCCATCCTCACAATTTTCTCCACTTCCTTGTCCAAATTTCGAGGTTCAATTCATCCATTTTTTGTCCTTCAAGTTTCGGGTAGATTACTTGTCATTCTTAGTTTTTTTGGGTTTGTTCTTCACTATTAGGGGTGGATTCATCATTCCTCGAAGCCTATTGAAAAGGCATTTAGGTCTTTTTTGAGGGAAAATATCGTTTGTTTGGGTGTAGTGAATGAGTAATCGACAACGAAGAATTCAAAATTGTGAGAAATCAACAACTTTAGGTTCTGCATTTTTAGGTTTTCCGGGTTGTTCTTTAATCGTTTCGAGTTAGCTTGGGGTTTGATCTTCCTACTTTGATTTTATTGGTTCATTTTTTTAATTACATATTTGCTATTGTGTTCATGATTTGAGTTTTTGGCTTACATAATTGAATTAGTTGATCTAAAGTAATTTTTTTTATCTCTTGGCAAACCCAAAGTATTAGGCAGAGAAGATGAAAAAATGAAGAACATGAAAAGAGAGAGAGAGAGAGAGAGAGAGAGAGAGGGAGAGGAGTGGTTTAAAATCCGTGTTTTGATCGAAATTTCAAGAGTTGTTTCTATTGGGTTTGTTTTTAGGCTTTGGGCCTAGCCTCGAGGAAAAAATGGAGGGGGCTAGACTGCAATAAGTCCAACCCAATCTTACCTCACATGTAAAAAAAAAAAAAAGGGCTGGATTAGGTTCAATCCAGCCCGTGCTCAGCTTTCTCACCAAAAGAAAAGAAAAAAAAAGAAGAAAAAAATGCAAGTTAGGCTGAAAGTCCAACCTCTCCCAAAAAAAATTAAGAAAAGGTAATAGAAAAAAGGAAAAAATAGAATTAGGGAAGAAAAAATAAGAAAGAAAAAAGAAAAAAGGGAATGGGTAGGAGAGAAGTAAGTTATGGATTAATGGATTAGGTCTAAGGTGATTTCTTTTATTTATTTATTTATATATCTATTTATCTTATTATTATTTTTAGCTTGATTATTTTTATTCTTTGTCACTTTTTTTCTTATAATAATTTAGAATTGTTACTTTAATTTTTTTTTTTGGTATTATTAGATAAAATAAAAATATATATATCTAAAATTTTTGACGAAGTCTCCTATCCGATAGGGACCGACGTCATCAAAAAGAATATTTAAAATTCTCGGTGAAGTCTCCTATCCGATAAGGATTGACATCACCAAAAATAGCCTTTTAACCGGGATGTTCTCCGACACATCGATTGTGTCAAACCTTATAGTGGATCCAATGTTTGAATTGACGTGTCGCCCGACGAAGGGGACCAAAGATCATTTCAATATGATGCCACGCCCAAAAATCAAAAACTCAATTTGGCTTTTAAAAAAAAGGAGTTTAAAAATCAGAAAACAATTTGATATTTTAAGAGATGAATTTAGAATTAAACCATACATGGTACCTTTTTTCGAAAAAAGGCACTTTTGGGTGATTAAATATCTTCCCAAAAGTGTAACCAACTCCTTGCCGTAGAATCTCCGAACCGAGTGCCTATTTTAGGTTCTTAGTTCCTTCAATATTAGGTGACAACTCCAAACTCGTAAATAATTAACACCTATATTTTAATTTCTTGGGGAGACCCGTCCAACGTCAAGTAGCAACATATATAGATATATTTCCCAAATTTTTCTTTTGGTTATTTTTTTTTATAATAAATTCAAAAATAAAAGAGGATAAAAAAAAATTAGGTTATGACGAGCTTGTCTCTCTTTACAACGCTTATGGAGAAAAGTTAAATAAAAAAGATGTTTTTCATTAATTTTGCATGATAAGCTTATAAAAAAACATAAATCTAAAGGTGGAGCAAAGAGTTTGATTGTCTTAGGTGATTGTTCCAAAGAATAACATGTGAGGATCTTGTCATTTGGGTTGCATGCCCGAAAAAAATAATAATAAATAAAATACAATGGCCTTGTTGTCAAGGTCGATCTATCCCGAAAAGTAAAATGTGATGCGATGGCTTGTCCTAAAAAGTAAAATAAGATGGGCTTATTGTCAAGGATGGTCTCGCTCTAAAAAGTAAAATGCAATGGCTTTTTTTGTAAATAACGACTCGACTCGAAAAGTAAAATTACTATTCGATGGCCTTATTATCAAGGGCGACCGCACCTAAAACGTAAAATGTGATAGCTTTGTTGTTAAGGATGTCCTACCCTAAAAAGTAAAATGTCATGACCTTGTTGTCAAGGTTGACCTATCTTAAAAACTAAAATGTGATGGCCTTATTGTAAAGAACGGCCTACCCTAAAAAGTAAAATGCAATAGCCTTGTTATTAAGGGTAACCTATCCTAAAAAGTAAAATACAATGCCTTGTTGTTAAGGGTGATCTACCCTAAAAAGCTAATAAGCCAAACTGATGGCCTTGATGTCTCGTTGAGAGTGCTTCCGTACATGAATACGTTTAAATTGATTGATTAAAAGTCAAAACATAATATTTAAATGCTATGGTACAATTTTCTTAAGAAGTTTGTTAAGTTAGATCGAAAAAATATGTTTGGGTCATGCAAGTTTTCTATGAGAAATGGTTTTTTTTTATGCTATTGAAGGTGATTCTCAATTCATAAGTCTTTTTTTTAAGGAATGAAAAAGCTTAAGTAGAAGGTATTTTGAAAAAAATTAGTTCCGAAAGATAATTTTTCCTAAGAATCTCTTGATTCTATTCTTTTTTTTCTTGCCCTTAAGTTAGTTGATAAAAAAAATATATTTTTTTCCTTTCGAGATTAGAATTTAACACCATAAATGAACAACCTTTAATCGGAAAAGGCTTGCAAAAGCACATAATATAGGTTATGGTTTGGGCTTATGGAAAACAATAGATATAAAAAGGCTCAAGAAGTTTTTAATTATCTTACGGCACTAGATCACTTTGTTGTCCATAAAAATCTCTTTAGGTAATGCCACTTGGACTTTGTCACTTTAGCCATTAATTAGGTTGTTATGTCCTCTTTATGTTCATGAGAAAAATTTTCTTTTAGGCTTACTGCAATGACATTATTATTTTGATTGTTAACTTTGTTTCCTATCCTCAACTCTCATTGTTCGTTTTTTGAATTTTGACTCTTATCTTGACTTATAAATTTTGTATTAGGGATGTTTTTCTTTTTTGTTTCTTTCATCATCTTTTTTTTTCACTATTTATGAACTTTGCATTTTTCCCTTTAATGTGAGGGGTGATCCTAGTCCGAGTTGTTGTTAAAGAAATTATCAAGGCTCAAAGTGAGATGACAAGGTATAAAAATTTTATAAGATATATGAAAAATGAAGTTTCTTCATCTCGGATGCTAATTTGCCTATATTGACACTATTCTTTTTTTGAAAAAAAAATGTTTAATTTAGAAAACCCTTAGGATAACCAAAGAGAAGAATAATGAATGTAATTTGAGGTCATGACTTAAAGATGTATTGTTTATCATTATTTAAGATACCAATCATTCAATCTTTCAAATTTG